TATTTCTTCCATTTGGTATTTGGTGGATAGAGAGGTGGCCATCTGACTGGGGTGATTAGAGTGTTGCTGTGGAGGGAATTTGCTCCCTGGCCACAGTGTAGTAATGGTAACTGTCAGCAAGTTCTTAAATATTTGCAGTGCCAGCATGCTGTTTGTGTAGCTTTTGTTTGAGAATACTCAGGAGAGAAAAAAATATTGTTCTACTGATACACTATGCCTTTGTTGTGAGAATCACTTTGTATGTAAATATTTGTATTCTTGGTTGAGTTCTCCCCATCGTTAGAAGCAAACTTGTTTGGTTGATTGTAGAGAATTTTGTGGTCATATATTTTTTATGATTTAATAAAACTGGCCTGAGGGTTCAGAATGCAAAGGTGGCTACAAGCCATAAAGGTCAGGCAGTGGTGATACACACCTTTATCCCAGCAGTCATACTAGCTAGCCATAGAGCTAGGAGGTAGTGGCACACACCTTTAATCCCAGAATTCAAGAGGCAGGAAGATGTATCTCTGTTAGTTCAAGGCCACACTGAGCTACAGAAAATTGGTCCAGTCTACAAGAGAAACAGCTCACACAAAGTATAAAAGGAAGAAGCAAAGGATCTCATGTGGGAATTAGTCTCTAGTCACATTGAAGAGAGCACAGCAGTCTAGGATTGCAGTCTGAGGCTTGATGGAAGCATTGTACTCTGAGGATTCGTGGAGACAGGATTACCGTTTTGCCTTGGTAGAGGTAAGAGCTAATGCTTGGCTGCTTTGCTTCTCTGATCTTCAGCTTGAACCCCGATGTCTGTCTCTGAGTCATTTATTATTTGTTACAGAATTTTCTATGCTTTGCACATGCTGATCTTTAACAGTGTTCTTTAACAATCATGCTCATTCTGTTTGTAACAGGTTACTATTGACATGCAGCTTACAAGGCTCTAAAACTACCTTATCTAAAAGAAAAGATATGATGAACATTTTTCCCCCACAGATTCTGTGTCTGAGATGAAAAGCAATATGCTTGGTACCTTCCAGATTTAGTTTACTGCTGTGTGGAAATCTAGGCTTAGGAAGATGAACTTATTTACATGTGGTTACACAGATGGATCTAGGTGCTAAATTTATCTCAGATGTGCATTCCTTCATATTTGTTTTTAAACAGAGTATCTTGATATAGCCTAGACTGGCCTTGCACTTATGATCTGCCTTTCTTTGCCTCCTGAATACTATGGATATAGATAGAGATGTGTACTACCACACCCAAATTTCAAAATTTGATATTGTTTTCCAGTTCTGTACCAATCTGTTACTGTGAGAGCTGAAGGAATTCAAGGGGGCAATTTAATGTGTTTTGGCATAATCAGGAAAAATCATCATGTAATGTAACAATAAAAATAGGAATAGGATTAGAAGGGGTTACACTGTACATGGAGACAGAAGTGCTGAAAGAATAATAGTGATTGAACATTAGTATACTTTATAAATATAGCAACTTTTCAGTCCTCAGAAAAGCCCCATGAGGTAGGAACAGTTACTTACAATATAGGTAGGGAGACAGTTAAGGATCGAGCCTTAGTCACATATTAATCTTTGGAATGAGATTCCAGAGCATGTGGTATGTGGTCATGAACAGTGGGTACTGGATGCTTCATGTCTGAATGTAATAGACATGAAAAAGGAGGGAAAATAAACCTGCATACCAGGGCACAGGTGAGGGTGGTAGGTTTATAGAGCACTGTGTGTTCCAGCTAGCCACCTGAGCTATAAGAGACTTAGGGTAAACATGAGATGTGTATGAA